AGGTTCTGTTCTGACTGTGTTTGAAGTGTTCTTTGTTTGGGACAATCAACGATGTCAGCTATTTGATATTGACAAATTTGTTTTTTCAGCCAGTTGTGGAATGAGATTGTCTGAAAGAATCATAGGCAGAGGGTTTTACTTTCATGAAAATTACCTAAGGTCAAACCCACTACCATCTGTTGGCACCAGGAGGACAATAATGGAGAGAGTTTTGCTTTGAACTGCCACAAAGTCACAATAAAACTCCCCTCCAATGTCTTAGGGCTGATAACAGAGAACTGATAACCAGATTGGCTGGAGCTGTGGGTCTGATCAGACGTGCTGGGTTTCTTACTTCCTGTGATTAATGTATAGACGTCTCGTCTTCAAAAAAAAGGAATCACTGTCAAACCAGGTCATTGTTTGAACCAACAGAAAAATCTCACTGACTGAAGCTTTGATAAAGATCTGCAGTTGTTGTTGAAGTTTGTGTCAGTTGTGCAGCAGAGTTGGATTTGGATTGAAAACTGATTAGCAAACAGGTCGAACCAAATATAAAAAAATCTAATTTTACAGTTTTTAAAGCATTTTTGTTAAATAAAATAAAACTTGCCTCTTGTTCCTTCTTTCACTTAATATTTACTTAGTGACTGGATTGTGATTGTGATATTTAACATTTACCCATCCATAACTAAATTAATTGATTTTTTTATTCTTTCCAATTCACTTTTACGTAAGTTGAATAACCTAATATCTCATTATAACATGAAACAACTGTGCGCGAGGTTTCAGCCAGTGAAAGCCCACCGATTCGTTTATTCCTGTGCCCAAATCTTCACATCCTTAATTCTTTGATCTCAGCTGGGGCTTTTCCAGCTGGTAAGGTGGTGATTTACAGCAGGAAAATCTTCAAATCACTAAGTGCACGCACAAAGATAATGGAGGGCTTTCCTGTGTTTGACTGAGACTGGGCCTCCAGTCTCCTTGTTTGATCTGGGTTGACTCTGATTAGGCCCCAACTGCAAACTGTGATTCATGACGCTGACGTGACACAAACCATTTCTGTGTGATAATCGGCAAACAAGAAAATATGTGGAGTAAAGCTGATGCTCATATATATACGTGTGTAAATATATATATATATATATATGTGTGTGTAAATATATAAATATATATATTTAACTATATATAATATATAAATATACGTGTCTATATATATACACATAGATGTGTATTAGTCAGAAATAAAAACACGTGTAGCACATACTGTTGCAGCAATATACAAATACCCCTTGAAATATATTTCAACTCTATGTATTTATATATGCTCATATACACAAATATATTTATGTATAAATATATATGTATTATACATACATTTGAAATACATATCAACATATAAATATATATGTATTAATACATACATTTGAAATACATTTCAAGGGGTTTTTGTATATTGCTGGAACAGTATGTGCTACACGTGTTTTTATTTGTGACTAATCCAAATAAAGAAATCATTCATTTCGGAAATATTAATGAAAATATGCAAAACATGTATCTTCTTTTAGTTGAAGTAGAATAGTCGGCTGTCACACATTTCACTTCATGGAGTCTTAAAAAAAATAAGGTATAAGGACACAAAACTGAGCAATCCTAAATGAATTCCTTTAATTTAGCATTCCACCACAGACAGTGTGTTACTTTAGGTCTTCACTCAGGTCTGTATCGTGAATATTGCCAGCTGCTGTGGAAGTCCCTGTCATACTAGAGGCTGGAGGTGGAGTAAAACTCCCACTGATTGATCAAGACAAATGTTACAGTTAGATTTTTTTAAAAGAGCCCTCCTCCTAATCAATCACCTCGAGTGACTCTTCTTCTTTTGGGGTCTTTTTTCGTGAGTTTCACAAACTTTCAGAGTTGTGTCAGGGTAGGGACTGTGGTCGTCAGCCTCTTGTGGAGCGAGGGATTGAGATGCAAGGAAGAGTTGAGACCCAGAGGTAATCCAGTAGGAACTGGTGTGCCAGGGCTCTGGGCTTAGCCTCACAAATCTCCATGATAATACACCATTTTCCATCTCTACAGCAGGAGTACATTACCAGCTCAATGGACTTGCAGATGGCTTTTCCTGCCACACAGGGGTATTGGCATTAGAGGTTCACAGCATGTGACTCTGCTCAGGGGGAGTCCAGGGGGAGGACACAGGTCAGGGCAGGGCAGCTAGGGGTGGTAGAGGATGCTCTCCAGACAGACAGACAGAAGGATGAATGTAATGTGAAATAAATGTGTCCCTTTACACAGCTATATATGGATACACAATATGTTTTGTCCTTTTTTTTTTTTAATTTGTGCTGTCTGCAACGGGGGTTTCAAACTCATTTTCACCAGGGGCCACATCAGCAATACTGTTCCCCTTGAAGGGCCGGTTGTAACTGAAAGTCTCTTTAGCTGTAACATAAATGTCTCTGCAATTGATTATTATTTATTTGAGTTCCAAATAACGTTCATTGCTGTGTAATAAAACAAAATATTTATCAGGTTAAGACATTCTGCTGCATGGACTTGATTAAATGCTTTTCAAGCTCCTCCGGGCCATACAAAATGACTTGGTGGGCCGCTTTTGGCCCCCGGGCCTTGAGTTTGATACGTGGTCTTCAACTTCACACTGATTAGAAAAATGACAAATTTTCACCTTTAAAGGGTTGTCTTTGCCTCACTGATAGAAAAGGGGTTTTATTTCATCATCCTTTGATTTTTTTGGAATATTCATTTGTAGAGACTGAAGTCAACCTCATCAGTGACGAAGTGAGTGACAACACCTTGAATAATTCTTGGTTATTATATATAGTTGCTGAGCTTTTGCTGTGCCTGCAGTACACCTGAGTGACTCTCAGTCACAGGAGTCACAAACTGCTTTGAGTTTTTGTTTCCAGGGAAATTAGTCTATATTGAGCAGACTGTCCCCCCGAGTCATATAGAAACTTGTTATTCTTTCCACAGTAAATGAAGCGTTGTCTGGGCTCAGAGAGAGAGAGAGAGGCTGCTGTGGACTTGTTGGAGGTTAGAGACACCTACAGAGAAACACTTTCTTTGTTACTGTGTTTAATTGTGTTGAAAATAGATTTAAAAAAACCCAGAATCTCCTCAGTCAGTCGGTTTAATGTGTTTAAAAACAGGATGGAACACGTGACACCACAGTGCTGTTTGTGCAGCCAAAGACCTTCTCATTTTAATTTTAAAAAATGTAAATAAAAATCTAATTTTTCAACCTCACAGCAACTTATAAGACTGAAAAATATTTTGATCTTGGACATGTTACCTAATAAATATTATTTTGTTATTATATACTTTCTCCAATCCGACATCTGTGACTCCTTATTATATTGTGATTGTCATAACTATTAATAAAAGTGACGACTGAGACCTGAGTTTTTAATGAAATGTCAGTCTGTAAAAGTTTAAAAGCTTTTCTCTGACATCCTATGTTGTAGTTTTGAAGGAAACCTTACCTGAATTTACAAAGTACTAAATATTACTTCAAAAATAACTTCAATCAGGCCTTTCATTGGAGGCGTCCAACAGGCCCCCAGTCACTCACGCACCTCTGTGACAGTGAGGGGCTGAGGATGGGGGAGCCCGTCACAGCCCTCACCTTTTTTTTTTTTATTTGGCATCATAAAGTTTAATGCAAGTCTCTGCGGGGCGTCTGTTTTCTCATTTCTCTTACTTCCATTTTGACTACCATGGCCTCAGAGACCTGACAGAGTCACAGGGGCTGAGACGGGTTGACTCTGAGCCACAGGGTCTCACCACAGCCATTCAGAATTATATACAGGCCATGGAGAAGACCTGTTGTTCAGATTGTCTACTGTAGGGTCTAGGGTTATGGTTAATAGCTGACTGTGATCCAATGAAGGAGCGCACGCCTATCTGAGTGTGTTCTGTTCTGGGTGTCATATGTTCCTCTCAGGCACACTGACTTTTTTCATGCCTGATTCACTGTATGGGTGATGCGTCTCACAGTCACCGTCCACTCATGCTCCGACATCACATTTTGCTTCACATGTTCAGACCAATGCTGCCTCCTGATTCAGCAGAATGGCAGCTGGCAAACACGAGATGTTTTTAAAAACAGGAAAGTACTGATACAAGTTTTAGACAAACTCATTTGTCAGGGAAACAGTGGAATCTTCAGCATCATCCACTGAAGTGTGTTGTTGTTTAAATCCACTGAGATGTGGAAATGTCACACGCAGTTGTTAGGTGTGTGTGTGTGTGTGTGTGTCTATAGAAGTCAAAAGGTTTTCAAAAAGATAAAATCATTTCAAAAAGTAAACTAAAAACCTGTTAAGACATGTTACGGATCCTCAACAGATTTAACAAGTTTTAACATTATGTCTTTGTCAAATGTTGTTGTTGTGGAACATTTTATGTGATCAGTTTCCAAAAGAGCAAACATCACATCTTTACCAGACAAAATAAAACACGTGGAATTAAGAAGATTTTTCAAACAAGTTTTAATTTAGCTCCATGTGATTTTTTTTCTATTTCCAACTGAAGGAACATTTGAAAGAAACTTTATTTCATTTCTTAAATGAGCCTAAGAGTCCATTTATAATTTGGGGCAAAGGATGAAGAAATTCTACAGTGGAATAAAGAATAAAATAATTCAAACATCTTATTAAATAAAGGCTAAATACTTTTTTTACAGTTACAGTAAAAACAGTGAGTGGTCACAAATATTCAGTGAATAGAGCAACAGTCAAAATGTGTGCTTATTTTAAGCAGTTTTAAACAAAGGATATACTTGTCTTTTTTAAAATACAGGTATATAAAAAACAAAGGATTCAAATAGAAATGAGAAGGATGACCGCAGAAATGGCAGATATTAAAATGGCAGTCAAAGTGTTATATACCAAGTATAAATGGTGAATATCAAACTGTGACACGGTTGAGAATGGAAAAATCCACCATCAAGACAAATATAACTAATAAATCTACTGTATATTCTTTCTTGTTGGCAGAGGCTGAACTTTCACTGGATGCTGTTTTTTTTGGAAACCCATTCCTGTTAATCCCTCATCTGCTGATTCAACAATCTCCCCTTTTTCAACCTTCCTCTGACCTCGACCTGACGACTGTGCTGTCCCAACCTTTTTGGATTGGATTACAGGTATCGTTTTCTAATTCAATGGACAGAATTAAGTCGACTGCTAACAATGATGACAAAAATAATCAGACAACTAAACATTCAGTCACACAGTGAAGAGCCAACGAACACTTTTGCTGATATTGTTTTAAAAAAATCTTTTTGAATTTTGGCTTTAATTTTGATGCATATTATAAAACATATATCAAGAGATTAATAGAAATGTAAAATGATATAATTGAAAACCAAACTGAAAAAGCCTCCAGGAAGTCTGAGCTGCTCTACAGTCTCATTCACTGATTGGCCAGTTCAGTTCAGTAGTTTTGGAATTGTTATAAAAATATTTTGGCAAAATTCTCAGTGCTGTCCAGTTGAAATAATCTGTTTGTTCTGATAATGACACTAATCTAATCTGATTTATACAGAGACCGTTTCATTATTTCCATCCCAGACGGATAAATATTTTTTTTATATATTTGCAATTTATCAGAGAAACATAATTTACTACTGTAGAGTCTTGAAACATTTTTCTCTATAATTTCTTCATTTGTACTTTTTCCTGCTGTTTTTTATTATTATTAACTGTCTAGAGCGTTAACTGATGGAGACTTTCACTTGTTTCACACCACAGTGTCAACCGTATGGAAACAGACAGTCAGAACAGAAAACGTACACAACTTCCTAACAATCGTCTCATTGAATCTACTTGGTATTTCACTTTTTTTTTCTAAAAAAGCAGCCGTAGTCTTCTCTATTTTGTACAGCACGTTGTGGCTTCTGACGTGGTAACCTGTGTGGTTGTCTGATTCTCGGTGTACGTGAACCGCACAGACAGTCGTACTGTATGGTCTACTGTATGCTGGAGAAGTGTGTGTTCAGTGGCTAACACACACACACACACTGTTACTGTTACACTGTATGGACCATTCTCTTAATGTATCTTATTGTCTTTCCTATTTAGAGTAATATTTGGGTGGACTATGAATGTGAGAGGTTGAGAGGTTGACTGAAGTATTTGCTCTTAAATTGAATATAAAGAACCTTTATAGGATTCCCACACACACACACCAGCCATTGCTTCAGATATGACATCACAATATAGATGGTCAAAGCCACACTGACCCTCCTCCTCCTCCTCCTCTTCCTCCTCCTCCTCCTCCTCCTCCTCCTCTATTTCTGTCCTGTCTGTGGACGTGTCTGGATGTGTCTCCATTCACATCTGACTCACTGAACAACTCTCTCGCACCAGTGGAGACATCCAGTGCTAGTTACCTATTGACCCAGTCACTCCACACACACACACACACACA